GACAGCAATGGAAACCTCCTCGATCCGCTAAGATTCGAACCTGGAAATGATGAGTTGTCAGATACATTATGCACTCAGTACTGGTTCTAATTTTACTCAGGTCATACTTAGTGATTGCTTCAATGAAATGAATTTATTATTCCAAGTTCAAAAGTAAATTATTTAATATGTGTATGCATGTTATTATATGCATGCACGCATGCATAAATATATACAAGCAAATACAAGCATGTATGCGCAAATCAACCGGGAAACCCCAATTTGAAACAAATTCGGATTAAGAGAACTCAGTGTTTACGTTACTGTACCCAAGTAGTTTCTGTTTTTTGCGGACCTTCTTCGGAAATTGAAATCTTTTTCTTTTAAAATATCATCCACATTATTATTTTGAATTTGGATGCCGAGCATCTTCAATTGCCAGAACAGATAGGCAGTTGCATACATGGATCCAGGGGCACATCCCATGTTGGGTTCGACGAGCAATCACAGTCAAAGGTCACTCTAATTTGACCCCTCAAATTCACCCACACGTATCACCCACCACTAATACACCCAATAACATTGCACCAGTACCAACCCAAACCCTTATACAAAAACATCGAACACACAAACAACCTGTGTCATCTATTGCTCGGCATTTACTGATAACGAATCATGGTCTGGTCCCGACAAGCCGATTTAAGATCATTTATGCTAACACCAACCCCCAGTTGTTTAGGTTTGCGGAGTCGGTTGGAATCAGAAAATGGAAACCTGGCCTGTGTGTGTGTGCAACAAGGACTGTCGCTCACACTTTCGCTGCCTTGTCAGCGGTAAAAGTGTGGGCTGATTCGGCCCTGTCCCATTCGTGTGTAACCTCATGTACTGTTCAACGATATAAACTGTGGTTTTCTACCGTATTGTACCATTTGAGATGCAACGAATTCTGTGTCTTTCTCCATTGTATGTGTTGTATGGCAGCCCTTTGATTGGCCACTTCTCCCTTCCTGAAAAGTGTATCTTTGTAAACCCATTAGAAGGAAGTAAAATGAAATGAAAGAAATGAAAAATGAAATCGTGCACCCTAGCTTTGTTGTGCTCTCTAGTCAAGTTTAGCTAGGGAAATAAATGTTTCGTTGTTTATATTAATTTGATATCATATCGAGGTAGATCAAGGCAATTTTATTTTCAGGTTCTATTGGTCAGAAGGAAGCATACCCCGCGCTGAAGTCGACATTTATCTGGGTGCTGTCAATGCCAGTGTCGAGGAGACGTATTACCAGACATTCTCTGTCGATTTCATCTACAACTCGTTGCAGTTGACAGATCTAGCTGTTGGTCGTGCTCGTCAGTCATCAGGGGTTTATGGTGAGTAAAATCTGCGAAGCACATCATTCTCGCCCCCTCCTCACCCCACCCACAATTTTCCTTTCTTCTTCTATTCTTTTCGGGATAATAAACTATTTGGGTATCCGTAGATAAGTGCCACGTTTAGCCACAAGTGCTTCAACATTTAACTCCCTCCGTTTTATGTCCAATCAGGTTATGACGTGGGTTCCCAACTAATCACTGGAACAACCCATGTATCGTCCACTTCCGGTACATTTTCTGTGACTGTGGACAGTCCCCAAACGCCTGGAATTGCAACTATTCAACCGGGTGAGTTATTTCTTCATGTGTACCAGACTGTCGAAAAAGTCGCGGTGAATTCTTACTTATCTGAGCAACTGCAAACATACTGCCCTGCCTTGGAATTAGATTGCATTTGCAAACCAAATCTTACTTTATAAAGTGGGAATATTTTTGCGTAAGTCTCGGGTTGTGGTTTGGGCCAATGATTGTGAATAGATGATTTTAAACTTTAAAAAATGAAAACTACTTTATTAATCTTCTGATATCAAAACGCTCTTTGATAAATGAAGTTGAAGGCAAACAATAAAAGATTTATCCGAGTGCAAATGAGCAGTCTTCACGGAAATCATGAACAAAGTTTGGTCATGAACAAAAGGATCAAATTTGTGTTTGCAGCATTATTCTACGGATGGTCACGTGGTTTGATTAGTAGGTTTTTTTTCAAAATCATTTGCCCTGTACAGAGGGATTTGTAGGTGAAGTGAAAAGTTGGGCAGCCTCACGATAGACGTCATTATGAGATCGGTTAATGAAAACATGGACTATATCATGGATCAAGTTGATGGACGCGACCTATTTGATGAGATGAACAATTGTCGAAAGAATCATTGCGCTGATTCTGTATGTCAGGTGTTGTGGGTTAGAAGCGTCTAAACTCAGCCAACTCGACACTGACGGTATTTTTATAATGACTAGTATATGAATGACTGGGCGAAATTCCCCGAAGCATATACCCGGTTTCGCGGTTCTTACCGCCCTTTATGTATGCTTATCCGGTAGTCTTCTGTCTGATCATTCTCGCATTTGTCTTTTTCCTCAGATACTGCCACCAAAACCAAAAATTCAGTCTTTTTAATTTACGTTTTATCTCTTGTTTACATTTAGGTTTAGCCGGAATGTGTGGAAATGCGAAACACAGAGCTGTGCACTTCCGTGAAGCTGTTGTCGGAACTTGCCGGGTCAACCTAGGTTTGAGTGATTTTAACGACTGTACAATGTTGAGGTAAATATGAAGAAAGCTGAACTAATTCCTTTACTCATTTATTCATATTTCCTCTGTTTTGCTCATCAGTATTATAAACTATTGCCCGTTTTGAAAGTCTTTGTTTGTTTCTGTATGTGGCAGAATTTCTGTAACCATGTGTCTACGTGCTGAACTTTGTCCACATAGCTCATGGTGAAAAAAACCACTAGGTGATACAACAAATTACACGTCTAAACTATACACCAAATCCCGAGCAGAACTGATATTCAACTCTCCCTCTCTCCGGTCGGAATGAGCCTTATCGCAGGGATTGCTCGTGAACGTGGTTGGAGCTAGAAAATAGGAACTTATGGCACTATGAGAATGATCAAGAAGAGTTGTGTGTGGCTTACAAGTGACTGACTGATCGGTTGAGTTACTGATGCTGTCAGCTAGCACACACGCACACACTCACAAAAAGGTCTGATTCGAATGGTGTGAAAGGTCAAAACGTATTCTGGGAACAAACTTCAACCGGGAAGACGCGTTTTGGTTCGTGGGCTTCGAGATCAAATGAAGTGGGTCTCGGCCTGAAACCGTAACGCTTCCTTCTCAGGAGACTGGAATTCAACAGTAAAGTATCTTGAATTCCTTATTGGTCATACTAATTGTAAGATTACAAAATATCTAAGCATATAGAATCATTTTACCAGTCTTTTCACCAGATCCGATAGCCTAATATTGCATAAATTGGTTTGTAATATTTTTTAATTTCACACCATTGTTTGGTGAACAGTATACGGGGTAAACCGCTTCGTCAAGAGGATCTGTTTTTCACTGATGAAAACCGGAAGCTGACGAGGCGAACAGCGTAAGACCCCACTAGGTTAGACATGGTGTTGAGTCGGACGACAGTGAAGCTGCCTAACATCAGAGTTGGGTGGTGGTTGCGGCGTTTCAACCACGGATGCTATGGACTAAAGCGAGCTGGTGATAGCGCCTAACCACCACCACCACCACCTGTATAAAAAGAAATCAACCTCTCAGCCTCTTATGTTACAACTCGACAAAATCTAACACGCGAGTATTGAAAGACAGGTTCACTCTGACGAAAGACTTCGATTTGTTTAATTTTAATTAAGGAAACTGAATAAGTGTAAATGAATCAGATAATTCACGAAGACGGACGCTATCCCCAAGTGGGCTGTGAACTGAAACTCTGAAACTGAGAACGACAAGTGCTACATTAATCGCCAGGAAACAAATGTGTGACTTTACCCCCCGGTTTCATCGTACTGTTCAAATACGAGCAAGCGATATAAATTTTTGTTTCTAATGTGGTGACACGCAGTGAACGAAAACTGCTTTTAACAGAGAGACAATTTCAAGTTTGACCTCGAAATCCATCAGAATTTTTCCATTCGCGCACTGGAATGGCAACTAAATAAAGCCGGTTACTTTTGTAGAATAAGAACACACAAACCCAAAGCATTTCGAAAACTTTAAAGGTGTATTCGTCGTGTATATAGCAAATGAGGAGTGAGCTGAAAGCTAAGAACCACT